ACCGATCTGGCCCACGATAAGATTCAAGTGAAGCCAACAAAGAACGAAAAGCAGGATTTGAATGGTTTCTAGCTTCTTCAATTTTCCCTTATCTGCTGGGGGAAAAAAAAAATCTCACTGACTGCCATGCATCGTCAACCAAGTCAGGCACACCTTCATTTTGAACACAGGACTCAAAATACACACAGAGTCCCACCCTCTGCGCACGCAGTCAACAAAACTTATGTAAATGAATTAAGGACAGGAAACCTGGCCATGGCGCAGCTGAACTATGATGCTAGCGGGTCTGGAGGTGTCTGCCATTCTGGCAAAAGCTCCGACCCGAGGCCCTTTCCCTGAGTTCCTGGCCTTCTGCTGGCAACAATTCATCTAATGTTTAATACGGAGTATGGACTTGGCCAATGGAATGAACCCAGCTGACTGGTTCCTGGTCCTCGCTCTTTTCCGAGGCCTGCTTGGAGGCTATTTCTTGCCTCGTTGGCCAGGCCTGGAGTCAGCACTATTAAAGTCTGTGCCCCATCGTTCCCTCGTTAGCCAAATACGATCCGATCTGTAGATCCATTTCTGGCAACTTTCCTGGTTCCCAGCAATCACCAGCTGACTAGCTACGATTTACTTCGATTCGGTCGTACCGATATCTGCCAACTTATGCCAAGGCATTATTCAGTCCTGTTCTTAGTGTTCGCCGATGGCCCCTCGTGCTAATGACCCTGACATATGGACCGGTCCCCTTTGGGCTGCCTCTTTTCATCAGAGCGGCCCTTGTCATGGCGAGCCCCATATAGATACTTGGCCTGTCCCAATTCCCCGAGGCTGCAGGAATCGCAATTTGGAACCGGCACATAGGAAGCATGGGAATCGCTCATGTCATATAGTTGACTCCCATCACTTCAAGGTCCCCGCATGGACGATCTGATCGTCACTGTCAAGTTTATTCATTCTTTGCCTGCTCCTTCAGTCACTCCTTGTTTTTCCTTCTAGCCGTTCCTTGACCATCTGTACGGGCTGAGATGCGTTGAAAATTCCCACATCATTCCATGAGGTCGCCTCCAATCTAAGTCACTCCTTAATCTTGCTCAATCTTGAGAATGTCGGCTTCAGATGATCACCCTGACGGGCTGCCCGTCGCCGTATCTTATCTGGCAGGCTACATCGTCCTCTCCTACGTTATCAGCACGATGGGATGTGCGACTACCCTCGAACTTCTTCACCGACAGACGTCGAGGGCCGGCTTATATAACTGGTATGGCTGTTGCTCGAAGTACTGTTTTATCTAATCGTCTCACATTATAGGTACCTTCTGTTCACATCCTCCATTACTATGGGCGGCATCGGCATCTGGTGTATGCACTTCATTGGCAATAGGGCAATCGTCCTCGGTGACGGAGCAGCCCAAATCCAGATCGTGTATAGCGTGACTTTCACAGGAGTTTCATTCATCCTTCCCGTAGTTGTCTTGCTTGCAGCTTTCTACGCGATAGGAGCCAGTGAAAAGGCTAGCTATCTTCGTATCATTATGGGAGGTGTCCTCACGGGCAGCTCGGTGTGTGGAATGCACTACGTTGGCCAGCTTGGTATCGCCAATTACCAATGCAGCTACAAGGTCGCGCATATTGTCGGATCCGCAATCATCGCCATCTTTGCCAGTACTGCGGGCCTGGGTATCTTCTTTCGATGGAGGGCTACATGGACGAACAGTTGGTGGAGACGGGGAATCTGTGGCTGTCTACTTGCCATAGCTGTCTCCGGTATGCACTGGACTGCTGCGGTTGGCACGTCTTACAAAGAACATGATCAGTCCGTCAAGCAGGGTGGCCAACTGTCACGGAGCCAAACTGTCATTATATGTGCTGTACTAGTATGTTGTCTCCATTTATCAACAACGACGGGCAGCCTGGTAACTAATGAGGTAACGTGATAAGGCATGTGTTTCCTGCTCAGTTCTATCAGCATGTGCCATCGCGGCCGGCGGAGACCGCAGACGATCAAGAACAAAGGCCCGCCAAGTGGTCTTGAGCTGTGCCTTTTTCGACCCAGCCGGGAGGGTCATGGTGACTCCGCATGCAGGTCTTCCGAGTAGGAAGATCGTGGATCGTTATCGTGGAAAGGTACGTTGCCAGCGGATGAGGACCCCAGCACATGAGTTCAATGAAACCATGAATCATACTAATTGCCTTGCTACTTGGTAGACTTTTAACGACGACGATCTCACAAGGACGCATTCAGCCTTCCTCTGGGCATTTCGTGCAAGTAGAAACTGGAAACTCGTGACGGATGTCGTTCCCTTCATGAGAAGTCGAATCGAGTCCGAGAAAACTGCGATACAGCAGTACACCCCAAAAGGAGATGCGACCGACGATGACACGGAGATGCAAGGTAATTTTGACGGGTCGTTCAAACAACACTTCTGTGTAACCGCTCAGGACCTGGCCGAGGAACTACGACAGCCTCTTCAGGACATGGGTGTGCTGTATGATGACATCTTGACTACTACGACACCAGTCTCGCGCTTTTCTCGGGCAATGGGATATTCTCGACTCCATGCCAATAAGGGTCAGATGATGTTCACTGTCCGGCAATTGAGTAAGCACGAAGCTGCCCGTCTAGCAGCGTCAGGGCTTCGATTTACAACAATCGAGAACGTGATCCCTGTGCTATCTCGCCGTATCCATATACCGTCCACGACTTTGGCCGCTCACCTCAGGGACATGCGAGACTATGCCACCTCCAGTCGGAATTTCGAGCCAGGAGTTCATCTGGTCTCTTTTGTCATGCGCCCCACTGTTCATGACAACTTCGAAGTTCTCACTGCGAAAGGCGTCAGCAACCCGTTACCGTCTTCATCCCTGCCGGTGGAACGTCTTCAAATTACTCATCTGGAATTATTGTCACACATGGAAGGGTGGACCGTGTCAACGTGCCTGAAGTGGCTGACGTCGGAGACGGCGCGCGCCTACAAGGAAGCTGATGAGTTTCGCCAACAGTTGATCCAAGCGATGAAGAACCTTTCGTCCGCCATGCCACCTGATGTCAACTCAGCATCTAGATTCTCGGCACGCCCTCTTATTGCCCCGTGTCGCCCATCAAGGCATTCTGACGGAAGCAACTGTATCCTTCTTCCATTCTGCGCTGTCGGAACGCTGGACACCCAGATCTCCAACCCGGACTTCACCTTCACGCCTCTGCGTCTCTTCAGAGTGCAGCAGCAAGTGAACGACGGTTTCACCGGAGGCGATGGATTCGCAAAGGAGCTAAGTCAAGAGCTCTATTATTCCAACGCCCGCTCCAGTTCAGCCACCGATTCCGAAATCGCACCCTCTGTTCGTGCTCTTCGTCGCTTCTGGCCGAACCACAAACAGCCCAGCGATAAGATGAGCGCAATATCCCAGGAGACTCTCACGGAGCATTTGCCGTTCGGAGAGATCACTGTCCGCAAGGAAGTGAAGGTGGATATCGCGAAACTCGCTGAATTGTCCACCCAGCCCACACTGGGACGGCATGCCTCGCAGACTACCGTAGTGGCTGGCGACTCGGCCTCCGGCACGTATGTGGACGAGCTCTACAATCTCTGCTATTCCCCTAAGATACGGTTAAGACCAGATACGTTCCAACCAACCTCGACAGTTGGCTGAGATATAAAGTCCAATCAGCCGCAATCAATCTTGAACTCGATCTTTTGAATGAGCAAAACGAGCTCAGGCATTTTGGCTCGTCAGTCAAGTCGAGAACAAGCCTGCCCTTGATCTGACGCGCCAAACGGACATCGACGCCATCACTAGCAGATCATCACGCCCTTGCCCAACACGAAATCGCATAGTTGACGCTCTTCGGTACGGACCCGTTGACTGCTAGTGCACGAGAAATGAGTCTCGAGCATGGCTCAGGTAACGAACAATTCGAGATGTAAACCTCAGCACTCATGACGGGACATGCATATATATTTTGGATTCTGAGCAGATACATAGATATCTCTTGGACAAGCTCGTCAGATTGATGTATGACGAGGCGCTTCACTTTTCCTTTGTTCTGTGCATCGTGATATCTCAAAGGAAACCAGTACAAGCCTACATGTATTTTCAATGATATCAAACCCTCATGTGAGATTGATATGCCAAAAAGGCATACTATCAGTCCCGTTGTACACGTCAAAATCTCTACGATTCCAAGTTCTGAACCTTGCATATGGCACAGCTGCTGCTCGAGCTCACATTCTCTACTTGTCAAGAATAGACTATTCACACTAGCCGAATCGAAGGCTATTTCCTTGAAAAGAAGCAAGTAGAACATAAGGTTATCCGAAGGAGGAAAGTAGAACATAAGGTTATCCGAAGGAGGAATGCACCAGGCACCCTCAAATGCTTAATTCAAGTATGTGGATGAATCGACAAGATTCGCTCAACCAGCCAAGCCAGTTTATTATGACAACACCCAATGCGGGGAAAAGCAGAAGAACCGGAGAAACGCCTTGCCATGGGGTATCGTATGTTGATGCAGTAAAACCCGTAGCGAAATCGAGAGCCATCAGAATGGACAACGATGATAACCAGATCATTGAAATATGCAACTCGAATGATGAGAATAACCGCCCAGCGCTAAGTAGCAAGCGTGAAATTTATGCTCCGAAGCAACCTGAAATAACCCAACCCGCTCCCAATGCGAATGAGTACAAGGTGATAGAAAGCCAGTAATGTGGAATGTCGTAAATTCGTGTGTATGTGTCGGGGCAATGTGCCCTTCCAGTTACCGTGAGCGTGGAGAATCACGGGTTTGATGTCGTAGTAGAGGCCATGCGCCGCCTGGTACGGGGCCAATGTCACTTGTTCGTTGTGGACGCAATGCAGATGAAGAATATCAAGTACGGCAAGCGCCACTTGTTGCCTACTTTCACGTCGAACAGCCGATAGAGGTAATCGTCCGCCTTATTTAAATCGATGAAGTGCTCAACTTTGATGGAAAGAGACAGCTCACACGGTTCATGATTGCATGACCTGCCTTAATCCTTAAGCACTAATGCGACTGCGGAGCCTCTTCCTTCGAAGGGCAGGGCGAGGATCCTCATCCGCAGTCTCATCAGCGGAGCGCTTTGTGCTAGCAGGTGAAGGAGACAAGGCTCGCGAGGAAGACCGGCGTAACTTCATGGTCAATTTGTTCTCTGGTGCTCCCACTCGGACTTTCTTGCGGCGAACAGCCGGGCGGGGGTCTTCATCTTCGCTTTCATCAGCGGAGCGCTTTGCTCCAAGGGCAGGGCGAGAATCCTCATCCGCAGTCTCATCAGCGGAGCGCTTTGCTCCAAGGGTAGGGCGAGAATCCTCATCCGCAGTCTCATGAGCGGAGCGCTTTGTGCTAGCAGGTGGTGGAGACAAGGCTCGCGAGGAAGACCGACTACGTAACTTCATGGTCAATTTGTTCTCTGGTGCTCCCACTCGGACTTTCTTGCGGCGAACAACCGGGCGGGGGTCTTCATCCTCGCTGTCATCAGCAGAGCGCTTTGCTCCAGCGTAGGAAGGTGGCGAGGTCTTTGAAGACCGATCAGCTGATTTCAAATCATTTGGGATGCGCGGCAGTCCAGTATGAGGGCCATCCACATGCCGTACTGAAGAGTAGTGGTTGAAGTCCTGTAAAGCGAGAAGATTAGTCGAATATTCGCAATGTAGATCGACGACCTATACAAGGAGTTGACTCACGTGAAAAGCAACATGGAGAATTGCCCTCTCCTCACTGCCCGGAGCATAAACATCACGAAAGGTCTGGATGCCCTTCGTGCTGTAGACGCGAACGTCGACTTTGAATGACTGGCAAAATGCTTGAATGTCTTCGGAGCCACCCCATGTGCCATTCTTTCGACATCCTTCCAATTTGGACTCGAAGCTGCGTTCGATGTCTTCAGACGAGGGAGGTGCCGGGCTTACCGACGAAGAAGAGGAAGAAGAAGAATATCTGGACGCAGCTGCTCGTCTGGGAGCTCTCCGCTCTCCACCGGCGGCGACTATGAAGTGTATAAAGTAATCTCTGTGGGCAGCAATATGATCCGCAAGCTGAAGACGAATCTGGTCGGCATGGTCCGGGTTTCCGTACATTTGATCGGACAGGGCGTAGTACAGACAGTTGCCTGGGGACGGAAACTGTTAGTACGAGACGACAATAGAATGCAAGGATGCCTCAGAATGAACGCAAGTAAGGGAAGTCAAAGGTCTGGGGACTCAATGGTAGGGAGAATTTACCATCACCCTTAGTAGGGAAAGCATAGAGTCCTAGCTCATTGAGGCACGGAATTTCGAGGCTTTCTGTGTCTGCTTGTTTGCTGCGAATCTTTGCTACCGGTTGCCTCGGTGTCAACTCCTCGCAATCGGACTCCGCTGAGGTTGATCCTTTGGTGGTTTCTTTCCTTGGAGCCTGCTCTTCTGGAGCCGAGTTCTTTGGTTCCGCTGGCTTTGGAGACGAATTTTTGGGGGGAAACTGGGATTGTGTTCGCTGCAATTTGCTTGTAGTCTTTCTGACCAAGGACTGCCCCTGAGAAGGACTTGGCAGATGGTGTAGAGGAGACATTGGTGCAATTACTTGTGCCATAGTCGGTTTGATCCTATAGATCAACGTACAGGAGCGGTAGGGAGAGAAAGATAGTAATTGTGGAAGGAGAAGGACTGAGAAGAAGGGGAGGAGGAGAGAGAGGAGGGAGGAGAAAAGGAGAAGTGAAGATAAAATGTCTATATCATCTAGAATATGGACGCAAGTGAATAGACGACAACAGCCCATTTGTGGGGTCAGAAAAGAAAAGAAAAGAATGAAGCAATAGTTACGGGGTGAAGATAGCCCTGGTATACAACACGCGCGGCGAGACTTTTTGGACGGACTTGCGGAGGAAAACGTAACAAAAGTGGCAGAAGTGGAAAGGAATCCCTGGCCGAGGTTGAGGCGGTGAGCCCGGCGACGCCTGGTGATTGGTGGCTGACACGTAAAATCTCCTCAATGACGAAATGTGTTGTATTCGCGAATACAACAAGATTTCAATACTTTGTTTGTCTGATTCAATGGTCCTCGGCTAAGTGCTTGTTTAATGGACATACAACTACCAGGAGGCGGCTAACCGCTCTATTAATTAATTCAGTTCCTCAAAAGCTGTATGATAGGTGCAATCAATGAGAAATGGCGGTTGAAATGCTTGGTATTGAAGTTGAAACAACACATTCAAAAGATCGAAAACTTTTAAATTATCAAAACACTGATTGGACGAATGACACGTACAAGCACAAGCGCCCGGACCTCCGCGGCCAAAATAGGAAAGGCACCACACCCGGTCATACACCGCCGAAACCAAGGCGAAATGCTTCAGTTACGAGTCAACAATACATAAATTACGCCGCGAGGTGACAATCTCTTATCTAATCGGTTCCCTCTCGCATTGCCTGATACGAAGATAGTACCGAGACCCCGCTTGGAGATGAGTACCTATATCTTTGACTCATTGTCCCATTCTCCCTGAAATCCTTAGATTCTATTGTTCTACTCCTCTGCTGCTGCTTCACAGTTGCTTAGTATATCACCGAATAGCTCAACTGAGAAGATACAATGGCTACAAATACCATTGTGATCCTGGGGTATGACGGTTCGGCGGCCATCCATGATTCTGGAGACCCTGATATTAGTGGAGATCTCATGCTGACAACAAGTGAATAGAGCTGGAGTGTCAGGGCTCACTACTGCATATCTCCTTTCTCAAGATGCGTCGAACAGCATCACCGTAGTGGCCAAACATATGCCTGGAGACTACGATATCGAATACTGTTCTCCATGGGCTGGAGCCAACTATCTCCCGTAGGTATCTTTTTGGGCTCGAATTGGAATTCCTCCACTGATTGATCGCTTGACAGTGTGGGGAAATCCGGGAGTCCTCATGAGAGGTGGGAACGAGAAACATGGCCAGCTCTGAAGGAGCTGACTGAGAAACACCCAGAGGCCGGGATCCATTTCCAAGGTAGGCCTCCAGCGCTTAACGAAGTAATACATCCCAACTGACTATTCCAGACACGATCGTCTACAACCGTGTCAAAGACCAAGGATCACCAACTGGCCAGTGGTTCTCCGAGCTAGTGCAACCTAATCCGTGGTACAAAGATGTCGTTCCGGACGTAGGTTTTGACTCTTTGAAAAAGCCTCTTGACTTGCGACGAGCCTGGCTGACGATGTTCGTATCAGTTCAAAAGCATACCAGCCGACCAGCTAACCCCTGGTATTGATAATGCGCAGAAATTCACCTCGGTCTGTATCAACACCGCCGTCTACCTCCCCTGGCTTGTCGGACAATGCCGAAAGAACGGGGTGGTGTTCAAAAGAGCCGTCTTCAAGCACGTTGCAGAAGCTGCAAGCGCTCACCACTCCGGTAAGAAGGCCGACGTGGTCGTGAATTGCACCGGTCTTTCGTCTAGGAAGCTGGGCGGAGTATGTGACGAGAAGCTGTATCCGGCTCGCGGCCAGATCGTTGTCGTCCGCAACGATCCTGGAGCCATGGTTTCTATCTCTGGGTGCGATGACGGTGAAGACGAGCTGGTCTACATGATGACTCGAGCCGCTGGCGGCGGGACCATCATCGGCGGCTCGTATCAGAAGAACCAGTGGGATCCATTGCCCGACCCTAACCTAGCAGTTCGGATCATGAAGCGTGCAATTGCTCTGTGCCCGCAGCTCGTTAAAGAGGGTCAGGGCATTGAAGGACTGGACATTATCCGGCACGGGGTCGGACTGCGGCCCCTCAGAGAGGGTGGCACTCGCATTGAAGCGGAGAGGATCGACGGGGTGGCAGTCGTGCATAACTATGGCCACGGAGGATTTGGATATCAAGCTTCATATGGTTGCGCCGCAGAGGCGGTCAAATTGGTCAGTAATGTCTTGCAGCGGAAGAGTAAAGCGAAGTTGTGATAAGGACAACTTCGGTCGCAACAATGTATATAATTGAAGGACATAGCTACAGAGAGTAAATACTGAACTGACTATTTTGCAGCTGAAGAGAAAAGTGTATTTACAATTGAGAATCCAGGAACACCCAGAAACAATCCAATGTGCTGCGGCAGATCGAAAACAGATCGTCGAGTCATCATCATGTCGACGTCATCACTGATGAGCGAAGCTTCCCCGGATTTTCCATTGTCAAATTTAAAACACTTAGTACAACTTTCCAATTCCGCTGCCCTTTGAACAGCTTGGCCTAGCCCGAATGTACTTCCCCATTCGAAGAGAAATCGCAACACAATGAAGTACAAATCTCCCGCCGTAGAAGACTACACCGACACCGACGGCAGCTCAGTCCCAGTCGCAGAGAAGCGCAAGCGAGAGCACAAAGAACGCAAGACATCTGATCGCGACGACTCAGAGCAACCCCCGAACAAAGTCTCCAAGTCCGCCAGTGGAAACCCCAGCCCTAAAGAGGAGAACAAGGCAGACTCTGAAACCAACCGCGAAGAATGGAATAACGGTTACGAAGGCTACGAAGACCAAGAGGAGGAGGAAAAACTGAAAAAGGGCGCAAAGCAAAATGAAGAAGGCGGCTTGGAAGGTGCTGAAGGAGAATTTGAAGATAGCGAGCATGCTAAACCCCCAGAATCACCCAAAGTGCATAAGACTATCGAGGAATTTGGCCGGCAGCCACTAGAGGGTACTTCCCTTGCGAAGGAGCCGCTCACTGCATCTCCGGATACGGTGCTTGCGATGGTGATTGACGCGATGTTGAAGTCGCGGCCAATTTCCCATGATCTTTCGCAGCGTGCGGTGAATAGGATCATTGACGAAGGGTATCATGATATCCGAAAGTTGGGGGAAAGTAGTTGGGAGGAAAGGACGATGGTGCTAAAGGAGGGGGGTTATAATCGGTATCGAGAGCAAGGTGCTACTAACCTGGGCGATTTGGCAGACTTCATCAATGGGCAGTACGGTACGCATTCCCTTCCTCGAGATCCGACTGGTTCTAGCTGTACGCTGACCATGGTCTAGATGGTGACCTGAACAATCTTCTGAGAAAAGCTGGAAACGACCGCAAAAAGACCAGGGATTTGATCAAGGAGATCAAAGGTCTAGGTGACCTCGGTGTCGATCTCTTTCTGAACAACGTCCAAAGCGTGTGGCCTTCCATGGCGCCCTTCGTGGATGCGCGCAGTCTCAAGACAGCAGATGAGATTGGCATTAGCACAGATCTCGAGGCAATCTATGAAAGCCTGGATCGAGACTCAATGAGGATGAGCAGGCTGGCAAATGGATTGTCCCACGTGCGGCTGGATAAGAAGCAACGAGAGGTTATGGAAGTTTGATTCCGCATGTGACGGCTTAGACCACATTGTGCGCACTTAAGCAATTGATATTGTGGGACTCAAACATGTGATTCAGCCTTTGAGTTCATCAGGGACGGCAACGTCAAAATGAATGAAGTGAGATCAATTTCAAGCAGAAGATTTACTTCTTTCCGGGAAATCCTGGCTGCACCCAAGACATGTGGCAAGTGAACTTTCGAGCTATCGACAGCAAAAGAGGATCCGATTTTGCCAGTTCATTAAAGAGAAAACTAGTGTCGCATATGTTCGAATCGAGTGCTTATACCTAATTACCATCATGCCTTCTTCAAAAGGCAACATGATCCCCAGATTAAGGCTGTTTGGAGTCCTAATCAATGTCAGTGGAGAAATCGTAGCTAGGTTGATCAATGCACCTGAGGGAGCTTGGAACAGCACAGAACATCTATCTATTGCGATCAGACAGGCTCATTGACAAAAGGCGTTTGATCAGATGGATTCGAATGGTCAATTTGCTTGGGAGGTAGAATGCCAGCTATATGATTGATCGAGAAGAGGTATTATCGAGAGTAGGACGGCATAATGACAATCTAGGCCGCCATCCAGACCATTGTCAGCCTAAATCTGCGGAGCTAAGCTCTACTATCTGACTGTTTCTACTGTTGCGCCCATTCAACTGATCTAGAACCCAACTGGAAAGTTTTTAGATGATTTTTCTGAGGCCTAGGTAAACATCGAAGGAGAGGAGGCTATGGTCTTTGATGCTCTGTCACGTGAAAGGTCTTGGCCTCAGTCAGTGGCTGGTAGGTACTGATGTGTCAGCCACCCTCAATGGTCTTGGCAGACCCGCTACTTGCGACTCGGACCAGGAAGCTCCAAAGCCCCATCCGTCGCTCATCTCCTTGGTTTCCCAACCACTCCTCCTTTTGACCTCTCTCTCCAAACCTCTGACGAGTCTCACTTGATCACCGGATCTTGACTCGGAGAAACATTAGTCGATCAGCGATTCTTTCACCTTAGGCAGCTACTTTCCAACGGCGCAGGCTACGACATTTCGAACAGTTTCACCACCCAGCGAGACCGGCGAACTCAGCAAGCAGACGAAGCTTTCAACGCTGGATCTCACCCCATTTTTTTGAGCACACATCGCTACTGCCTCGTGCTCCGACCTCACGATTTGCGATTTGATTCTTTATATCTCCTCGAAACCCCAATCTCCTGTGCTCGACCACTCTACAGACCGACGGAACATAATTCGTGCAAACGTCGCTCAAAATGGACTTCTCTAACATCTTGTACGTCGCTGTACTCTGCTAATCTCAAATTGATTTCCAAACTGTGACTGACGACCTCCAGCCGGATCGTCAACATCGCCATTGGCGTGATTATGATCCTTGGTGGTATCGCTCAATTCTTCCCTGCATCGCTAGGTTCCGTAATTGTTGGTGCCTACGTGATCATCTTTGGTCTCGGTAAGTTCCAAGGCACTTCAATTGACCAGTGGAGAGTATGTTATTGCTGACACCGTGGTCTCTTAGTCATTGGCGGCCTGGAGTTGATGCCCACTGTTCCGGATTATGTCTATCGCTATGCGTCTTTCCTCTTCTCGTTCCTCGGACGTGGTGTCTGTAAGTACCTCAGCTTGCTTTTTTTTTTGCCATTCCTTTCTGGTAGCGTTCTTACAGGTATTCTCAGTCTACATCTTCGTTGGATCGATCATGCTGCACGGCCACGTGCTGCGGTACATTGCCGGTTCTATCGTTGGGTTTGTCGGTCTGGGATATATTGTCCTGGACTTCATTCCTTCCATCGAACCTCCCTCCAACATGCGCGAGGCCGACCAGGGCTGGGGTGCTGAACAGGTCTAAGCTTTGCGGAATCTGGAACACATGATCTTCCAGATACTACACAATTGCTGTTATCGCGGGCCCTCTCGAACCCGTACTCTGAGTCACGAGATTGAAAACTTGCGGCAATCCAAGAACGATGTCCCTATAATGCGCTTGACGATGATCGATGAGTGTGATGATGTATATTCGCCCTCCGATTCAAGTGATGTGATCGAACCAGTATACCCATCTCACCTTGAGTGGAAAGTCTGGTCTGAAACAATTTTGAAGTTGTCACTTTTGGAGCTCTTGATTTCCTTTTGAACTGTCCTTTGTGGACAGATACTTTTCTTGTGAACTCTGTATTACATATGTAGATAATATATGGTTGAATATCAGCTGTCCTATTGGAAAGCTACGGTAGTACACGCGGTGGTTGACAAGCCCGGTTAGACAATAATCGAAGCGAGAGGTACCTGTCAAACACCACTCAAATCTTCCATCGTCATACGGTTGGCCCAATCCGAACCATGCGACAGCTTGCACGACAGCTCTACGTCTTGAGCTACTCGGCTACCGGCATATTCTAGTTGTTGGCGAGTATGATAGATGAGCTTGCGTGTCTAAGCCATGGCACATCATACTACCTACGAGCATAACAACATACTGGCACGTATCAACAATTTGTCTGGTCGAAAGGGCCACGGGGGTGAGTTTGGGAAAGAAAGGTACAATAGCACTCAACATCAGGGCCACTGCGGTAGCCTCAGGCAAAAGGGTCACGCGGTGACCTCGCCCATCCAATGCTGAACAAGCCCCTGACTAGAGCTTCAACCGGAGACAGAAAAGAAAACAACACAGACTATCCCATCACGCTTTGGCTCTTCACCCCGTGCTCCTCTCGCTACTCCTCGTGATCCTCCCTTGGCTGGGACCGTTGCTGCTGCCGCATATCAGCGATAACCACCCTCTCAATAACTCTTTTGGGCATCATGAAAGCTAGGATGAAGAAAGATGAAGGAAGAGTAACAGCCATGAAGATGACTTATTGTGAGCTCGGAATGGCATGTTTGAGAAAACATCTCCTTCTTGCGTTCTTAACCGGTGGATGACGTAGGAGAGAGCGGGAAAAGAAGTCCAAAGGGGTCTTTTGCTATTTTCAAAGCTGTAAAGCTTCGACTGTCCGATCACCTTAAATTCAAACCATCCATGCAAGCATAGGATATCAGTCCATGCTGTGGGCCTACCAGAGAAACCGTCAAGAAATAGAATATTAGCCCGAAGCCATTATCTGAGCCTTTCTCAGACTGGGAACGTCTAGGAACTCTCTGTTCATATTTGAACAGTGGTGCAGAGATTTTGGGATTATCTTCTGTATGAGAACAATCGTCTGAACCATGTTCCTTGAGAAACACATGTTGGTTGAGCATTTGTGCTAGTTGACCGTGTATCATTGAACCCTCATGACCAAAGGAGAAACCATCAATCTAACAGTACCTTCTTCATTTTCTAAAACTCATCAAGAACCAGATAGAGAAATGCTTTATGATTGCTATACAGAAAACATGTGATGCAACGACAGACCCTGAAGTCTTGGACTACGAGTGCCGAGACAATAGATTAGGTTAGGTAAGAGATAATCCCAGAGGAGTGGAGCTGATGCGATAGATTAGAAACTCAACGAAGAGATGGAAAGACATCTACAGCCAATCACAGTCATTAGAAAGACGCTGACAGGAAGAACCGAAAGACATCCACCAATGGCAGCAAATACAAACAGGCTTATTCGATCACGGAGACGCTACTTACTGAAGGGGAAGGCACGTTCTTGGTAGACCCAGAAGACTAGTCCAAAACAGGCATCGGTGGGGTCCAGATGATTCGATCCGGGGGAGAAAAAGCAGGCGCCATGAGGAAAAGAAACGGATGGCAAAATGAAGGGGAAAAAAAATACTAGAAAACATCAGGAACCATCAGGTTCACTATTGAATAGAGTCCTAAAAGGAACCGAAGATCTGGACCCAACAGTTTCTTCTTCGAGGAATCCCAACCACTTGGATATCTGGACAGCCTGCAGCAGCACGACAAGAGCTGTCGTCCCCAGGTGTAGATCCCCCTGGGAGATCGATAACCGATAAGAGCAGCAATAGCAACAGCTGAGCACCAGGCCAACTGTCATAACCAGAGTCTGGCCTCTCCTTCACGATCATCCAAGAGTCATTATTCTTATTATCGCCTGTCATCATCATCATCATCATCATCACATCCATCTCGTCATCATCATCCATCAAATCCATCATCTCCAAGTCTTCTACATATTATCATTTATCATCGTCGTGACCACCTAGGCCTTACCCACTTTTTTCCCTTCCGTCCCCTTTCTCTATCTATCAATCAATCAATCAATCAATCATTTGATCTGCGTTACAAAGTACGTACTTCCCCGTCTAATCAATCAAATCAGTCTATCGATCTCATCAATCCTTTGCATACCATGATTCTCCTCGCTTTCCCTACTCCTCATTTTCGCTAGCCTCTTCTTCCTCTTCCCCTTTATCTCTTTTAGTTTCAGTCTCTGCATACCCAAAGTCCCAACTCCCAACCTGTCACTCTCTAGCAGTGACATTCCATTGCTCGGAGTGGATCTATCTTCTTGCCCTTCTCCCTCCTCTCCCAACCACTTGGCTGCTGCACCTGAGAATTTTCGCAGTTTATTTGTTTTAATCATTCTAACAATTTTCTCGCGTCAAGCTCCCTCTTCAGTTTCAGACCACTTTTCTGCCCCATTATCTGAACGAGCATCTGACAGGATCGGACCACTTGGCATCCCGACTGGATCGCCACCTCGACCTGTCATTCGGATTGGCCGAGAAGCGGACCCTTCGTGGCGGGTCACTTATTGATAATCAGAGTTGTTGACTCTGGCCGGCCTTTCTTTTTTGATCGTTCAACTTTTAAGACACTTGCGCGCCTTTCCTGCAGTTGTCAGGGATCGACCGGTAGTTAACTCCCCGGCACCGTTCTGTTGGGTTCGAGTTCCACTAGCTGCAGCTCCTTTCCACTACGACTTTTCTTTTTTTTGGGGGGGGGCGCCCTTGTACCTCTTCTCCTGTACTATTATTCTGACCGACTCTTTGACTTTGTGATACCATACATTACGCTTTGGACGGTGGTGCGACGTACCATCCACAACACGGCTATCCGGCTTGCCTCGATTACTATCGAGAAACCCTGCCCTACCGTCTGATACTCATCCAGAGACAGGAGGAATATACCCTGGCGAGGTTTATGGTGGCGATGATTGCATCTGTTCCCCAGATGGACTCGATACGATCGCTTCCTCGGAACCGTGATGTCGTTACGCGGCACCCTTCAGCGGAGGATCTGGACGCTGCCCAACAGCTGATATCTTCGGCTCAGGCTGGCCGAGAACACACCGCGGATCGTCATTGGGATGTGAAGGGAAATGCACCTGCTCGGTTCGAAATGGAAACGACAGCGAATGGGTCGGCACATCGTTGGTCTGAACCACAAAGAACTGCTCCTCCAGCCGAGACGACCTCGACATCACCAAAGGCGCAGAAAGACACATCGTTCTTGGGACATTCCTGCAGGTCCGTATATCCTTAAATTCCTCGATCCTGTCTTTTGAAGCTTGTTGTGTTGACTCGCGTTTCTAGTAACTGTGGGACGAAGAGCACTCCTCTATGGCGACGATCACCGACAGGAGCGATGATTTGCAATGCGTGCGGCCTATATTTGAAGGCACGGAACGTGGCTAGGCCGACCAAACGCAATCGGATGGAACCAGGCTCTGAAGCGGGCGCGCAACAAGTTGGTCATGCAAATGGCCAGGCCGAATCGGCTTCTCAGGGACACTGTCAATCTAACTCGGGTGGTGGTTCTTGTCCTGGTGGAGGGAATTGCAATGGGACTGGCGGAGCCGAGGGATGCGATGGTTGCCCTGCCTACAACAACCGAGTGTACAAATCCGCTGCGCGAGGCACGGTTCCCGTCCATTCGTGGAGAGCTACCAATTCAGAATCCGACCGACCTCTTCCAGGAGCCGAAAACGATGCGGTAAAGAATGGTGCACCAGCGGAGGGAGGGAACACGCTGGTCTCCTGTCAAAATTGCGGGACCACTGTGACTCCACTTTGGCGACGGGACGAAAATGGACATCCCATTTGCAATGCTTGTGGTATGTTGAATTCTCCGTCGATGTTGTGATAAGTCAGTATACTGACGTTCGTTGTCTATTAGGACTCTACTACAAATTGCATGGCTGCTACCGACCCACCACGATGAAGAAGTCCATTATCAAACGACGAAAACGTGTCGTGCCTGCCTTGAGAGATCAATCTCCCACTGGGGCTACTTATTCGTCCAACGGTTCATCTGCGTCGCCGGAGGCATCTCCTGCGGTATTGGCTCATGGCCATGATGATCACTACCGATACTTGAGTTCGGATCCAACATTGCAGGCTAGCCATCAGCGGCATTTTGCCATTGCCCCGCCGCCCGTGGATTTCACTCACTTCAGTGCTGCCGGGAGTCTCTCGTTGCCGCATCACCCTCCCCCTCCGAGACTCTTAGAGCCGGAACGGCTGAGCGCACCGAGTCATTCTCCCGTTTCACAGTTCGGTCGTCGTTCTATCTCCCCCAGTTCTTCCGGCAATGCCAAAAAGCGGACTCTTGCGGAGACCGCGTCATCCGCCGAGGCTGCCTCTATCCCGACGACGTTGGAGTCTGGTTCCAATCAACTTCCTCCCATCATGTCAACTGCCAACCCCTCTCCCCCCGCCCGTCTCAGCTCGATTTCCTCTCTTCTTAACCACTCGGGCCTGCAAAACGAATCCCACTTAGACCCGTCGCTCGCTACTCTTAGCCGTCAGCAGCAACACCACCAAGCAGCACCCTTGGCGCCTCATCCGCCGTCGCAGCCGCTGCCCGGCGTATCTGAACTTGAAAGTCTCAAAGAAGACCGCCGAGCGAAACTGCAGCGTGAGGCGGAGGAGATGCGTGAAATGCTCCGAGCTAAAGAGCGAGAGTTGGCGGAATTGGGAGCGTGATAAGCACTCCCTTTGTTATCATCCCGCACGACTTTTCCCTTTTTTTTTTTGTCTTTTCGACCGTTGCTTCTTTTGTTGACGAGATACCATTTCAGTATGTTTCGAACGAGATACACAGGAGTTGTGCGATTCCGGAAAAGCCCATAGTTCACTCTATCTTCACTTTCCTTTTCCTAGGACCTGTCGGAGTAACACAGCAATCACAGCGGAGGCGTTGGTCATTCCATTTGCTCACCCTTCTTCCACTTACCAATTTCATGATCTCGGGTACTTTGGTGTTGTTGTACGGACGAGAGCTCACTGCTCATTCTCTTATTTAGATAGATCTCGGTAATTTCCTCAGAATCTTTATCAAACACATCAAACTGTTTCGTTAGACCCTCCACAGATAACGTATCCAGTCTCCTAATGAACAAAACTTAGTCAACTATTTACTATCCCAATCGATGCGAGATTTTATCAATGATGAATGCGCATCTCCTTGCCCTATATTAAAAGCTACCAGTGTTCAAGCGTATCAATCAATCTCCCAGGTCCACCACGACCTGATGCTCCCCCCCTAGATCCCTACGCACCTTGGTCCCCATATCCTCACTCAACCTGGTAATCTTCCTCTTCACCCAAAGATGATCATCATCATCCGGATCCAACAAAGTCGCCTGGAACCGATCACAACGGGTCGGGAAGATCTCCAATCGATCCAACACTAACCCGAAACTCTCTACGTCGGCCTTATCATCATCCTGCTCCTCCCTCACACAAACCCTCCACACCGCCCCAAGGTCATTCCGATAGTCCTCGTTCAACGCATAATCATCCACGAAGTCTCCACACCCGTAGATGATAAGTTTCCGATGGTACCGCTCGACACCCTGCACATGGTGCGAGGAGTGGCCATGCACAATGTCCACGCCGCACTCGTCGATCAGAAAATGCGCCAGCGAGCGAATCTTCTCGGCGGGCTGCCACGTGTAGTTTGGTCCCCAGTGGACGGAGAAGATCTTGAGGGCGGGTTTCTCGGGCTTGTCGTTGGAGGTTAGTAGGGTCCTCAGGTGGTCTCTTGTTCGTGCCGAGTAGTCGATGAGGTGGAAGTTGGGCACGACGGCCCAGTCGCGGGGGTGGTCCGAGGCCGAGTAGACGTGGACTTGGTATGATCGGCCCGGTCGTTCGTCCTGCGCCTGTCCATGCTGGTGGTGATGATGGGGATCGGCCGCGCCACGCGGCAGGCGCAGCACCGCCGGCCGCCGGCTCTCGTCTGTGGTCTCGCCCACCCCCGCAAACGCAATCTTGAACTCCTTCATCGTCCACACCGTGTCGACTAGTCCCTCCGTGCCGAAATCCAGGGTGTGGTTGTTCGCGAGACTGGCGTAGTCGACGCGGGCTTCGCGCAGTGCGGCTGCGTTCGACGGGTGCATGCGGTAATTGAACGCCTTGCTGGGCCAGGGGTCGTTGGTGGTTGTTGCCGAGGTCTCGAGGTTGATGAGGTTGAGGTCGGCGTCGTGGAAGAGGGGCAGCGCGGAGCCCCAGGGGTCGCGGTGGGTGTAGTTGCTCAGGTAGGGGTAGCGCTCGATGAAGTAGGAGATGACGCGCCGTTCGTGGGCGTTGTCGACGTGCTGGGGCCAGAGTTGGTCGACGAGGCGGCCGAGCATGACGTCGCCGACGAAGTTGAGGGTGAAGGTGCGGAGGGCGCTTGGCATGGTCGATGGGACTTTTTTCGGTCGCGGTGCTGGGTGATAGTGTCTTGAGCGCAAGCTGGATCCTGAGTACATGTTGAGTGCGGTGGTGTCTCTATTGTGCCCGTAGATGGTGGTCAGGTCATCATGACATCGATCTGGCGGGCCGATCCGAAGCCACTCAGATCTGTAGGTCGATTTGACCGTCGAAAATTGACATATATCCATCATTTGAGGGACTTCATAACATGATGACCAGGGATTCAATGCTGCGTGACTGTTGTGCTCTGATATGTAAGCTCATCCGGTATATTGGGGTGATTGATTGACTGAGAGAACCCAGCAGCACAATCGGGTTTCTTCCCCGGATTGCGGTGTCGTCTCAAATTGACAGATAATTTCCATGTTCGGTGAACACACTGAGTGGCGTGCTGTTGGCTGTCAAAGTTGTTGATAGTGCCTGGTAAAGCGCATTGTGGCTGGATTAAGCTCTGGTCTTGCTCTTACTGGAGTTTGATCCATCCAAGGATAATCCCTGCTAGCCCTAAATCAGTTGAAGTGGCACTCGGGTGAGGTACTCCGTACAGCTAATAGACATACCATGATCTCAGATACACGTTAATAATCCATCTTGTAGTGAAGATAGCTTCCTGAATGCTAATACTTAAAAGAAAAGTGAGGAATGGCTTTTGTTTGTAGATCCGGCAATGCAAAGAGACTCTGGGCTCCACACCTTTCATTATGATCGTCATTATAAGAGATAGTCAACGTCCTGGTAGAGACAGGCGATAAAGTGAACAGGGATATATGTACATCGAAGAAATCAGGTTGAGTATAACGAAGGAGATCGGCAAGCATGTGAAAGAAATAAAAAATGAATGAACATCATGGCATAAAGTTATGGATGTAGCACCAGCCGCCGCTCACTCGTCGACTCATCCTGTCGCGAAGTCTCCTGTATCATTTCAGTGATGACCTCAATGCCTCCCACGGATTCTCGTTTCGTGTCGTTCGCTCCAATGTCGATTGTGTATAGACCATAGTCCGGGTCCTGCGAGTAGAGTTGAGTCCTGTGCCGTGACCGGTTTACTGTCATCGTCGGTTGTCCCGTATATCCGTTGTAGCTCTTGGTGGACAGTAGTTTGGGGAAGATGCGGCTGATAAAAGGTCGAAGGAAGGGAAGACAAGCACATATGATGGCGACATTGCATTCAGCCGCGGTCCAGTAGGCGGCACCTACGTTGCTGTCTGTTATAAAGTTAGACATAACTCTGAAATGAACATGACAAGCAGGCTTACATGACGTGTCTGGACTTTGAGCAACTGTTCGTAGACTGGACAAACGGAGGATACTGGTTATAACAACCCTATTCAATGTAAGCAACTGACAGGCCATTCCTTACAGGGCACACTCACAGTAAACCAACAGCAAAGACAGCCATGAGGGCGACTTTCTGCATGCGGGGAAGTTGGAGCTGAGAAAGGAGTGGCATGGGCATGATAAGCAGCGTCAGATCGGTTGCGATGTTCATGGACGCGTTGAAGAACCAGACAGCTTCGAAATTGAGACATGAACCGGGAATGTCGCGGTCCCAGAACCTCGCTACAGGAACGCAATTCACGAATCCGCTGACAATAGCCCATGTCGAGTACATTGCGACAATGCCCATCATGACGTAGCACGCGAATCGGAACCGAAGGCTGGGAAAGATGCGCAGATATTGGAACAGAATGGAGAATTTGCTGAAAGCCAGACTAGCATTGTAGAACGGGATCGCTACCCAGAGTCGCTGTATCAGATGATTGTCAATTACCATATTGACGTACGCATCAGCCTGCCAGCACCCACCTTGAGCTGTTGCTTCAGTGTAGCATCAGAGAGTTTATCAGAATGAATTCCAAGACCGAAATGAACCTCTGTGTGAGAGTTAGATCAGGCTGTCTTTTCCCAGTAAGAGAGACTGCAGGAATGTCTTACGGGCTGCGACCAATGCAAAGTAGACAATGGAAAAGACCTTTCAACGTATCCAGTCAGTGGCGATTTACATACAGAAACCCGAATCCAGACGCATCTTCACTCACCAGGGCCACGACAATCGTATAGTCTTCGGGACCTCTCAGCTTCATCAACCCGATCCGCGCGAATAGTCGCATCGCAACGATTAGAATCGCCAGTCCGGTCAACACGCCTGTTACCACCAACGCCTGTTGTCCTCGTGATCTTCCATCGTCTTCGTCGCGTGATAGTATGAAATGTCGTAACGTCCCGTGCATTTCGGCAGTGTCAAGAGAGTGTGTCGTTTGGATAGTGCGAAAAGAGTATGGTGCGCGATTCGGAAAGTCGTCGACAAGATCAGGCCTTCTTCAAGCCAGACAAGATCAAATCAGATTCCTTGCATAAGTCATATAGCACTTTCACTCGGAAACCCGTCGGATGGTAAGGAACGGCCAGGTCAGTTAGACCCTAGGTGAGAGGAAGGCGTCAAGGCGCATGAGTTTGTTTGCACTCATAAACGAAGTCGATCGAGACATGGCATAGGCTATTATTTATTTTGGTTGCACAACCTCCTAGGCACAGTTTTCCCCACCCACTTGAACCAGAGGCATGGTAGACCCTAAAGACCTCAATAGTGTGTAAGATCACTTCCAAAATTCCAAGCGAACGAGCCGGGAAATGTCTTCCATGTGGTTTGCATTGCCCTGGAAAGTTTTAGTGCTGCTGATCTTTGACCAAGAGTTGCATGGTCTCCACGATCGTCGTGGCATAGTGGGGTGTCTAGCAATTGTGTCATCAGTGAGCTAGCTCAGGGACTCGCACATTCGTCGACTGGCCTCATCTCCGCATGGAAGCGGACATATGGCCCCGTGTTCCTCGGTTCTCAGCGCACATGAGGCAGCACGAGTGCATGACCGCATAGTCGATCAAGGCCTTGTTCTGCCTCAGCGTTATCATGTTATCACGATGGACCAGTGGATTTGCCGCCCTACTTGGACATGGAGTGGGGATGATTCTCGAAGGGGAAAGAGAAACAGGCACACAGGAATATATTGATGTTCGTCAAGAGCAAAACTGTTCTGTCAAGATCTTGGCAATCCTTTGGGTCGGCATAGAATGTGCCACCTAATTGCTTAATTACATGACACCGTTCCTCCATATTAAGGGCATTCTTAATTCTGCCTAGGCCTCTGCTACTGGCTTCCGCATATATTATTTTAAGAACCCAGACGCCTCCACCTGATGGCCACCCAGTGATAACCATTATCCTCTTGAAAAAGTTCTCCTCGAGGTGAGCCTGTCGATCATCGCTAGACCATGGATCTTCGTCGGCATTGACATTTTGGCACATGTCCTCCGAAGTGGATCAGAAACAGTTTTATTAGTGCCACAGACAAATGTGGGACTTCTAAACTCGACATCAGCACAAGAGCAATCTTGGCACATTCGATCCCTGACTTGACCATGATCAGTAAGGGCAATGAGAGCATCAAGCTTCGACTCATTCATGTCAATAACAGACCTACAGGCGATGGTAGAGGCATTCTGAACTAGAATATGGCAGTGGGTCTTGCGGCATTTAAGTACAAATGGATCAATATGACCTGCAGTGATCGACAACCGGACTCTGATAGCGCCTTTCGGCGTCTTGGGCTCTTGGCACTTTGGGAGAAGAAGAAAATCATCGTCACCGAGACGAGCCAGGTTGTGGTCAGTTCACTGTCGTTGCTTGATCATGCTCCAGTGCCGATAGAAGGGGACCAAAATGTCTCAGACGGATCCCAGACATGGCGGAAGGAAGTGATTTGTCGTCTATCTACTTGGTAGACCATGCGATGACAGTTACTCTGGCATGAGAGACACTGTCATGATCGGAACCAGGTCTTCCAATTACCACCTTGTAGGAAGCGTAATATGGCTGCCCGTGCTTGCTGCGATCAAAGGACATTGAACAGCTTTAACTTATGCGACCACCAATACGCACTTGCAAGTTGGTCGATCACTGATATCTCGTAGAGCAATAATAGGGGTGTCGGTATCTCAAGACACTTGAATTCCCGGTCTGAGTCTGTAGACCGAACGATAACGGCGAGGTCAGATCGTATGTAGACACTGACGGTTTACAATGGCGTTATCTGAATCCGGGGACCTGGAAAGAAAGTTCCAAAGTGACCTTGCCCGCTCGCTCTTGTCCGATCATCGAGCCTGTTCCGTGTCCAGCGGCCTGTCAGGTTCGAATAGTTGGATAAAGCCTGCAAGTTCCAGGGGCAAGAAATAGCGTTGAGATCGAAGCACTATTGAACTCTATCGAGGATTCAGCAACAGATCGGGAAATCCACCACTCAAAGATCGACATGGATTGTTAATCTCGGTGATAATGTAGATAGAGTGGCGATTATTGTTGGGGAAGGCCATTACTCGGTACCTTGACTTCACAGGAGGGTGCGCATGGCGGGTTGAGGTAAAGCTACTCCGTAGATACTCGAGAAGAGAATGCATGCCTCAACGGCAAGAAGTAATGATTCAGACAATTCTGTGGTAAATTTTAATGGCTTTGGCAATGTCAACCTGTTGATCATCGCTGGCCTCTCACTAAGGAAGGTTAACAGAAAGAACTACCTCAAGCCCACAGCTGGCTGCCGAAGAGTTCTGCCTACAGGGTCTTGCCTTGCTGTTGATCATGTGCTCCAACCAACTGACTGACGGCAAAGTTCAAGCCTTGAGTTCTTTTGAACATGCAGAGTCCGTTGTCACGAAATATGAAATAAAATGTTAGAGATCATTCATTCCTCGTCACTGAAGGTTAGATGATGGCATTCACTATGCTTTATATGCCTAAGATCACAAGACTGACCGAATCTAGCAAGAGCTGGCAAGATGAAACCCCACACAGCTTGTTTCATCTTCATCTTTTTCGTACTCGAAGAATTGCTTCAAGGTGCCTGTCATCCACGAATTTCTGAGCTGAGACGCATAGTTGGATAATGAGTTCGGACAGACTCTGTGGGTCAAGGTTTTGACCCCCTTGTAGCAAGGTGCTTCGTAGGAACTGCTAAGCCAGAGCAGATTGGCGCTGTCTAACATGGTGTGTCCCTGTTGGTCTGTGACGGGTATCAGACAAGAGTCCCATCGTGGAGCCATGCTGATTTGATCAGGTCTGGTCAGTCTTGGTCAAATAATGGTCGAGCATCGCATTCGGGAAGCACGTTTTTGACCTAGAGGAGCGAGGGCCGATATCAGAAATTGGCAATGAAAAAACCTCGGAGGCAGCTAATCCCTTGACATCGTGCTCATCTGTTTGTTCTATTTATTTGACTCCCGTTAGAATCCACTTCACAGTCAGCCGGTTGTCAGATTTTTGATTTTTCTTCGTCGAGATGAGGGTGGGAGATGTGTTAGACCATCGCACAGAGAATTGTACGAGATCGAAGAAGAAAGCAGCGAAAGAGCAAATCATGTGCTCAAAATCCTCAAATTTGGCCATCGACCAATCTGAGTCCCAGCAGAGAAAGACTCTAGGATACGAGGGAGATATTGCTCGAAGCTCAAATACTTCATTGCGATGCGAATCATGATCAAGCTCATACTCTCCTTGTACATATCTTAGTCGGCATTTAGAATTGATCGCCATCATTCTGCGTCATGGACATGTCTCTGATCCTCTTCTGAAGATGCTGTGCTGGAAGACATCCATGACATGACAACAATGTCGGAGCGAAGTCCGATCGGCCAAACCTTCAGCCGACAGACAACCGGCGGAAAACCTAAGGCATCAAACAGCCCCGCCAATCAATCAGTTTCCCCGCACATGATGCGATGGCCGACTTTCGGCCTGTTATCTGGACGAAGAGTCATAATACGGGGCTCTGTCCTTCTCCTATCTTCCTCCTACTGCTTGATCTCTAGGCTTCCTGCAGGCTAAAATTTATTTATGAAGCACCTCAGCAAATCAATAACCTTCCTCCGATCATATACTTCTCTCTCCGCATTCACCCCTTCGGCTAGAACGAACATTTTCACCACTGCGTCTCAGACAAGTCTTATAAAACGCACAATGGCAACGGCAATGGCAAAGCGCCTTGAAGGCAAGACAATCGTTATTACTGGCGCATCATCCGGGATCGGTAGGAGCACCGCTAAGGAGTTTGCGCGGACCTCACCGAAGTCCCTGAAGCTTATCGTGACTGCACGACGACTCGACTCTCTGAAGCAGCTGGCCGAGGAGATCAAGGAGGAGGTCGGCGATGGTGTCAAGGTACTGCCGGTGAAGTTGGACGTCAGCAACCCTGAAGAGGTCAAGAACTTTGTCCCATCCCTTCCGGCTGAGTTCCAGGACATTGATGTCCTGGTCAACAATGCGTAAGTCATTCCAATTGCTCGGTTTTGCGCTGCTTAGGGGTGGGATACTAAACAGGAAACAGTGGCCTCGTCAAGGGTGTAGCCAAGGCCCCCGAAATCGACCCTGAGGATATCAACATCATGTTCTCCACCAACGTCACTGGATTGATCAACATGACCCAAGCCATTCTTCCCATCTTCAAGAAGCGCACTGATGGTGGCCGCGGAGACATTATCAACATTGGCAGTATCGCCGGCCGCGAACCCTACCCTGGTGGTAGTATCTACTGTTCTACAAAGGCCGCGGTCAAGTCGTTCACCGATGCCTTGAGAAAGGAGCTTATTGATACAAGAATCCGCATCATCGAGATTGATCCTGGTCAAGTCGAGACGGTAAGCTGCCTCTCTCTAGAAGATAAGTCCAAGCTAACACTCAGCCTACTGCAGGAATTCTCAGTTGTGCGGTTCTATGGTGACAAGGCCAAGGCCGATGCAGTCTATGCGTACGACTATCCCACTGCATACGGGAGAGCTGAGCTAACATCTATCAGTGGATGCGAACCCCTTACACCGGATGACATTGCTGAAGTCATCGTCTTTGCTGCGGGTCGGCGAGAAAATGTAGTAATTGCCGACACTTTGATTTTCCCAAGTCATCAGGTGGGTTTTCTCCTTCATACGCCTCCTGTTTTGGATGTCTGGTTGCTGTAGGATACAACTGACATATCCAATTTAGGCATCTCCTGGCCATATGTATCGCAAGAACTAGAGCAAACGAGGGTTAGACAAACATTTTAGAGGGAGATACCTACTGGCTTCATAGGCCATCAATGCAATGAAGATAGACAGCACATTATATACAGCCATGTACATCACAGGTTCAATTTCATACCGTCAGAAAAAGAACTCGGCGGAATAGCACCAACCGCGACCATTACTTGTTCAATTAGTAGTGTTATTCTCTATTCATCCTTGACCCATAACAAGCGTTCTCAAACCCAGTCCCTAAAACAGGGATGAGCTCGAATCTCGGCTCCGTGGACACAAGAACAGCCCTGTACCATGGTACATTCCTAATCTAGAAGCCCATAGAACAAACCCACATGTCCGGAAAACCCACAGCTCTAGGTATCATTTGGCGACGTCTGACGTCTGTAGCCTATTTTTAAATGTCACAATTCACGGACCAACAGCTATTATGGTATAAGTCCCGCCGACGACCACGGATACCCTCAACCCTGACTCAAGAACCAGCAGATTGGAGCGAAAGTACATTTACCCTTTTGGGACATGCAGGTTTGTCCATCGGCTTGTTTCGAGTGGGATACTCATATCACCTTGCTCAGGACTCGTGCCTCGACAGACTACCAATAGTAAAGTGGCGGCGTCGTTCGTGGATTTAGGTATATCGGGCCGAGTTATATGCCAGATCTCCCAGACTACCCTGGTCTATCGGTCCATAATCTGGGTCAACGAGAATTGGAGGGTGAGATGAAAAGGTGCTGCTGCTTCACTGATGATGTCATATTGACTTTCTCGTAAGCTTCAAAAAGGCGATCGAGCAAAACTTGAGTCTCGTGGTGCGCAGATGGCGCGGATTGCTTTGCCGGTTACTTAACAGTCTTGAAGAAGTACTAGTGGGATAACCGCAGTAAAGTATTTCAAAATGTCTTGCTGATTTGAACTTCCTGCTTTGGCCAGCACGATGAATGGTTCAGGTTGGGCTTCTTCTGGTCATTGATATGCCCGAAGCGCAGGCCAGTAAGGGCACACTGGTGAGAATTGGAGAACGCAAAGGTAGAACTGTATGAACGCAAGGAACCCACTTAAGAAGTATTCGAGAATGTGACAGCTTGAATCAATTAGCATATACAGTGATTTACCTGGAAACTGGCAATCAACTCAGGGATGGAGAGGTTCGTTTGTTGGACAGTGGATGATTCTGCACCGTAAAATAATGACCTTGCCGGAACACTGAACGGTCCTCGTTGCTTACTAGAAGCTTTCGAAATGCGTTCTTCAATACAATCGCAGTCTTGCAATGCAGTACCGACCTGTCGGCAATTGAACAGGCATGGTTCAGGCCCTTGAGACAGGACCCAGTTGCTGACTATCATGGCTTGCCAGTTGACAATTTATTTAATTTTTCTTGCTCTACCTAGTGGAGAGTCAGAAATATGAGTTAAGGGAGGAGTATTGAACATACATAGTTGAGCGTCAAGCATTTCCTTGCTGTAGCACAAGGATGGGCAGAATGGTGCTGTTAAACAATGGCCTGCAGTTGTCCCAGCATGTCTTCTCGAAGCACACCTCACCATCCTCAAAACTCTGAAAACTTGTATAGATTGCTGCAGACTATTGGCGGAGTAAAATATAACCAATTATCATAATGGAAAAGATGCGGGTGATAACTGCTTTGCTACTACGTATATCCGGGCATTTGAAAGATATTTTGCCAAGCAGAGGCTCGACGAGGAAGAGCTTGTTATTCAAGAATCAGGCAATCTATTGTATGCAACACATGGATATCATCCTCAAAGATGAGTGGCTCGACCAGAACTGTTGTAAGGAGGGAACCTGAGGTCTCCCGTAATGAAGCGGTGGAGCTCCTATCTTATCCTCACAAACTCTGAAAGCAAAGGCCACGCACAGCGTTTGCCAAGCGATTCAATTTCCAGATGCTGTACCTAAACTGAGGATCATCCCTACTGGGAACCATTATTAGGCATTTCGACCTGCCTTAGTCCATTGTTCATACTGGGCAGTTTGACTTGCAAAATTTTGGCATATCATCGGACATATGTAGGTGTGCCTGGAGTGCATGGATCAATTGCTCTATGGCGATGGCATCTGTGCATTTGCAGTCTGAATTGGTCGAGAGGAGGGGTAATTTCTTGGAGATCAGCATCTGCCACTGCTCTTCCAAGGTGACTTGTCCCATATCGGCCATTGATACAACAGCGCAAAAAATAGGCACCTAGGAGACTTCATGAGTGGTAAACTCCAAACAGCGACTTTAAGGTATCAATGCTACGATCATTGATCGATCTAGAAGAATTAGCTTGCCTTGGGTTGGTACTACAAAGTATGTCGTTACCAGGCACGTCAGTGAAGTTAAACTCCCGAGTTCCCAATTTAGAATGATCGACTTGCTGACATTGGGTTGAATGCGCAATGATGCAACGATATGCGAGCTGTTGAGAGTGATGCTGACCTTGAAGCAAGTAAAGGAACTCCGCTTTGATTGTGGAGGACTTCTTTGTAGCGTCAAATTGCTGGATGTCTGTTTTCACAACCACATGATGTGAGATTGACCCTTACTTGATTCGCAGTGCCGTGGTGAGATGTCCTCTGATGCCGCTCGATAAATGATCAGAAAGAAGTCACCTCACGGTCCTATGATCCCACCTCTTATCACCGGAGTCCAAGGTGTGGACAGTCAGACCACGGACCCAAGCAAGCATATCCGTAGCGAATGAGCAATGTGCCTGTGGGAAGTGGAGGCGTGGGGAAAACTCTTCCCAAGACATTGGACTGCCTTCTTATTATGATTGGTTTGATTGGCTTGCTCGTCCTGTAGATTGGGGGCTTGCGACTAAAAGACTAGCCGCGAACCGATTTAAATTGAACTGTGTTAAATCAGGGACACGAAGTCGTGAAACACACCAGAACTTGCATAGAAATCTATGTTGTAACTTGTTGCACTGTGGACTGTAGCGCCCAAGGTTAAGGCTGAGTTTGACGGTTTCCTGGAAAGACTTGGGAACGCGGATCTCGATTCGCTGGTTTTCAATCTTGAGATTTTGCCTGTCCTGAGAGAAATTTTTAGATGTCTAAGACCTAGGTCAGGTACCTTACTTTCGGCAGCAGCAGACGCAACCAATTAAGCAACTGAGTGCTAATTGCCGACAATTGTTTTTCCTCTTCCGTGATTTCTTTGCTGTAACTAAACGGTCCGTTCCAGATTCGCGTCCTCCACTCAATATTCTCGATGGTATCGACGAAACGATCTCGAGGTCATTGATTCGCTTCATTTGGTGATCATTCCGGCAGGAGTAGTTCACGGACCACGGGCGGGAGAAAGCCAAACGAATTCAACGGCTGGACAATTGCATTATTATTGATTGGTGTGGCTGTTGATCCTTCGTTGTAGGGCTTATGAACGCCGTATTCTTAGAACAGACGACCTATGGTGATCTGGTAAATGATGAGGAGAAATTGCTTTCCTCACTTATCTGCTTCTTAGCCTGTATCTAGGTAAGTAGGAGGCATCGGACCTAGGCTAGATAGTTAGTCTGAACGGTTATATTATTGAGTCGATTAGCACTCGACAAATGAGAAGAATATCCATTATTCGTTGATGAAGATTAGATGGCTGCGGATAAGTTGATAGCAGTAAGTGTACTGATGGGGAAATCCAGATTTCGATTGCTCTCTTTTGCGCTGTCATCGAACACTTCATCATCTGCAACGTCTTTTTGACGGCTCCATCAAGATGCTGTGGGGGATTTTCACTTGCTGGCAAGTTGATAATTGCAATTGAGTTCCTATCCATCACAACGATACGGAGAAGTAGGAGTGGCTTGTTTGCGACTTCAGCAAACTGCTGTACTGTAGTATGCTGATTGCTACTGTGGGAACTAAGGTACTCAAGGTACCTTAGGTACCTTACTCCATACGTCGTTACAGACACGACCAGCCCACTTATTACCACGCTTCATCCCTCTGGATGACCCAGATTCGACCAAATCAACCCCTTTAAAGAGACACCAGTTGTTGTTGTTATGGTTATTGTTATTGTTATTAATATACAGATATTTATTATTATTGTTGAGTTCAAATTAATATTAGTAGTGCTATTATGATCCATTAATTTGAAGGCCCATTTGCTAGATACTTCCAACCTCCATCACTAGTCACCCAATCCTCTTCCTGCTCTCACTCACACCTTTACAGGATCAGGGCCTAAAAAAAAAGGTACGGGGTCACACTCGCAGTCTCTCATTTCTTTTCTTTTTTTTTTTCTGTGATTTTTATTCCCTTTTCCTTCGTATCCTTTCTAATAGTATTCACAATTCACCAGAACAATTTTTGACTTCCATTGCGGATTTCTGGATTCCTTCTTTTCTGGAACTTCCTCCCCTATCTTATCCCCACATCTTTCTGCTCACCTAAACTCCCCTTGAAATCGCCCTCTCCAAATCTCCACCCATCTTCCTTCTAAGCCCACACGGAGCACTTTTCTTCTAAGAAAGTTCATCATCATCACCATCTCGACTCTGTTTGAGTACGGAGTAGAGGGAAACACCGCTTAGAGACTCTAGTAACATCTCCGTTCGGAAAGCGGGAGCGCGCAAACTGGTTCGCATCTCCCATTCCCTCCCGTTCTGTGCTGCAGTGGGCAGACTGCCACAAAACCACCCCCTAATCCTCTTAAACCACCCTCTCTCCCACCCCCCTGTTGGCGTCTTTAAGCTTGGCTTAGTCGCTACTCCGTACTAGAGTACTAGACCCGCCGCTGCTGTGGATTGTTCTCTAGGCGCCTTTTCGTTCTGCGCGGAACTCCCGACAAGCTGGGTCCCGACTCTTGACCCTTCTGCAAAAGAAACTTGTGCTGCTGCTCTTTCGACCCGCTGACACTGCTGCTGTTGGGATAGCTTCGATCATTGCTCTCTTTTTCCCCTTCCATACTATCCAGGTATCCTCAGCCTAGAATTCGCCGTGATGGCTTCAAAGGTACGCCGATCCTTCGAAAACCCTGTTCCCTTGTGTCACTCGCCGCCTGCCCCTTTTCCCTCTCAACATCACCGCATCGCCTCCATCCCTGCGTATCTCGCCTCGACCAGCCACAGGTTCCCACGACATGATATGTATCAGAAATAACTGACAACCTTTCAATTGCAGTTTCTTAGAGAGTACAAGCTAGTTGTTGTCGGTGGTGGTGGTGTCGGAAAGTCATGCTTAACAATTCAACTGATTCAGAGTCACTTCGTGGACGAATACGACCCAACAATTGAAGGTGGGTGGCTTCTTTTGCGCAGTCAATGACAAAATTGAGTGCTTATCATTTTTTTCCCTACCGTATAGACTCGTATCGCAAGCAGTGTGTCATCGACGATGAGGTCGCTTTGTTGGATGTCTTAGATACTGCAGGACAGGAGGAGTACTCGGCGATGCGTGAACAGTACATGCGAACTGGCGAAGGCTTCCTCCTAGTCTACTCGATCACATCTCGACAATCCTTCGAAGAGATTATGACTTTCCAACAACAAATCCTGCGAGTGAAAGACAAGGACTACTTCCCTATCATCGTGGTCGGTAACAAGTGCGATTTGGAGAAGGAAAGAGCTGTTTCCCAACAAGGTAGGCGACCCTCCGAAGCAGCTTTTTCTCTCATTCAATCTCGGCAATATGCTGATTAGGCCATCTGCTTTACAGAGGGCGAGGCTCTGGCCAAGCAATTCGGTTGCAAGTTCATTGAGACGTCGGCGAAATCCCGCATCAACGTTGAGAACGCTTTCTACGACCTCGTTCGCGAAATTCGTCGTTACAACAAGGAGATGTCGTCATATCCATCCGGTTCTGGTGCCGCAGGCACACGTGCCCCAGAAGGCAAGATGGATGTGAGTGAGCCAGGCGACAACGCCGGCTGCTGTGGAAAATGCATTATTATGTAATTGGGTCGGCGTTGGATATCAAAGGTTATCAGGCGCGCAAGTCAATATAAAAGGAAGGAAGTCACCAAATCCGACTTGCAAGGAAGAGTGAGAAAGAAAGAAAGAGAGAGAGAGAGCTTTGCTTGGCTTCAGGAGATGAAAGCCAAGACTGCGTTGTGGCCATGCATCTGCATCTGTGACTTTTCGTACTATACAAGGCTCGCTATCAGGTGATGTCTGCTCTCAGCATGAGGTTGTCACCGTCTCCATGACCGTTCGATTCCCCCTTTGTTTCTCTGTTTAGTCTTTTTGGAAAGATTGTTCTCTTGATGAATACCCAGTCCCTTGGCACTTGGCACAATGAGGGATGAACCTGTCAATAGATTGTGCATTTATGTAGGTACATGCTATTGTCATGGTTCACATCTTGGTACTCACTCGCGCAGCATCGCCATTTCTTTTGTTCTCTTGTCTTATGTGACCATCAGGGCGTCACTGTCTCTTCCTTGTCCTATCTTCATTACCTATTCCTATTCCATCTCATCTCTCCTCAATTTCCCCTGGCGCTCTATCTCATCCTAATTTTAACCATATGCAGCGAACATCGCCTTTTCTCAGAGACTTCTTCAGGAGAACCACGCTTTTCATCCCTCTTTTTCTTGCTTTGCAGCCCCCGTGATTCTACATGCGTGCTCCTTCTCTCTCTTATCTTCCCTGATGGCGTGTTTTCTATCCATATTTCCTGCATATATGCTTGTCAGCTACTTTTCTCGCTTTAGAAAATCGATGGGTTTCTTAGAAGAAACTTTGGTCCATCGGGAATGAGAATGTCGGATCCATTGATGGATTCGTGAGTTCCCCTTTTAGTCGACACAGAATATCATTGTAGGATCGGCATTGTGACCATTTTTTCATATTGTAAACGGCGATGAAGTAATTACACCCCCTGCTACAAGTTAGTACCGAAAAAAGAACAAGAGACTGACTACAAATACGACCAAGGTCAAGAATTTTTTTTTTTTTTTTTTTCATTCTAAGAACCAATCCAATGCTATTTGCTACATATGCAGGATCTATTTATCAGCCAGAGATTGTACACGCAAAGATAGTCCGGTGAAGGCGGGCTGTAGGACCTCTACTCCGCGTCAGACGGAGGGTCCAGCTCATCCTCCCGAGACACCTTCTTGCCCCGGACGTTCTCTTCAACCTCTGCAACCACTGAGTCCATGAAAGCCTTATCCGTTCCGACCAGAGTAACGGTGTTGCGCTTGTTGCCCCAACGAGGGTAGCTGCCGACTTTGACGCCGTGCGCGCTGGCCCGGGCCGCAAGGTCCGTCAGGTACGGTGCGACGGCACTCTCAGGGAGCGGGGTGCTGAAAAGGTAGCGGTAGATACCCTTGCCCTCCGGGTTGGTTAACCGTGGGAGCAGGGTGGGCTTGAGGTGCTGGAGAAGGCGCTCGAACAAGCGAGGCACTCCGGGGAGAATATGCACGTTACCGTTGACGACGGCGATGGGCACCCACATGTCGTCTGCAACGAAGAGGGCTTGTGATTCCGCGGGGAGGTTCTCGTCGTACGGGAGGTAGACCATCCGGAGCTTTGCGGTGAGACCGGGCGATGGGGTGTCCCAGTCGAAGTGAGGCTGCATGGGGTGAGGCTTGGAGAGTCTCTTCATGCGCTCGAAGGCGGGGGTGTGAAGTTTCAGTGGCAGGTTGAAGGCCTTGGCTATCGATTCGTAGGTAATGTCATCGTGGCTTTTGGAGGGGCACGTGGTGGAGAAGTCAGCTTTGAACACTTTCAAGAAGAATATGCCGGAGGGAAGATGTCAGGGACGTGGGAGGTTAGGGCGTGTACAGACGTTGGCCCGATGCCTCCACTGGTCACAACAAAGTCGTAGTTGTTGCTCATCCGTCTCACTGCCTCAATGATCTCGCTTTCATCGTCCGCAATGACTTCCACCCGTTTGAGTTGGATGCCAAGAGAGAAGCAATATTTAGCAAAGAAGGCCGAGTTGGTGTCGATGGTCTGGATTCGTTGATATCAGAACGCTGTCAGCTATTTCCGTAACTCCGACCCATGGGACATCTTCAAAGAATTGTCCGCTAATCTTGTAATCCGATTCCATATAACCTCCAGAAAGCAGGCAGATATGAAGATATCTCACCTTTCCACCAAGGACTTCATCACCAATGATCAGACATGCCGCCGTGTGGATGGTCTTGGATTGGTTGGGCACCATAGATGATGTCATGACGAAACTCGGTACGCGGGACAAGGGGGAGAATGAGGCTCGCGAGGTGATCAGAGAGCTAGAGCTGGAGATATGGCGGGAAAGCTGATTGAGACGATTGAGCATGGAGAAGGAGGGAAAACGGGAGGGAGTTGGCGTGTGTCCAGGAGGGTACAGGCCGCGGGAAATGGAGGATGATTTTATGAGGAGGGAGCGGGTGGGGAATCTCCGATCGATCGCACTCCCGCGCTCTTCATCGTTTGCAAACGCGGAGCATCTTTCTTTCAGAGGTCGTCAGGCTTTCAGTCTTAGACGGTGTCTTTCCGCCTGCTTGCAGACCTATCAAACAGGCACTTGAAGCCTTCCCCGGCTTTGTTTGTATCGTTCGGCTGTCTTGCTTCCTCTATTCTTCCAGCAACATGGTGAGTCTCCATTCTGCCCCATTCTGCCCCGCATCCTACCTTTCTGCAAGGAAAGCTCTGCTGATGGTGATATGTCTTTGTTAGTCTGAATCACGATTATACTCTTTCTCTCCCGAGACAAAAGAGAAATTGCGCAAGTTCCGCTTGGGAACTTCCAGAGCGAAAGATCCGCAGGCGGTCATTTGTAGGACACCCATTTCCTGCTGCCCCAGACGACAAGCCATGCGCTACTTGCCGACGCAAGGCACACAGGACTCCATTCTTGATATGCGAACTTTCACAAAAGGCAAAAATTGACGACCGACCTGGCAGATATCATCGATTCCAAGACACAGGAGATCCGGGCCGAAGATGGTGAAGTCTACACGAAAATGGAGGATCTGGCCGATGAGCTGCCTGAATCTTCCCCACGCTTCATTCTTTTGAGCTATCCCTTGACCCTGGTAGGTGGCATCCATGCTGGAGGCCTGGGGACACATCCCTCACATTTGTTCAAGGAATGTCCATGTGCTAAGCTAGCTTTTTTCGTCTTATCAGGGTTCCGGTCGCCTGACTGTCCCTTACGTCCTACTCTACTACCTGCCCGAAAATTGCAATCCATCCATGCGGATGACATATGCCGGCGCTGTGGAGTTGATGCGCAATACGGCAGAAGTCAACCGCGTGATCGAAGTTCAGGATGAGGACGATATTCTCTCTATCGAATCGAAGCTTCAGGGCTCGGATTAATCGGGCTGTGGAACGGCTCGTATGGCACGATACTATAGTGACTGTGATATTCGACTGCGTCCTGGGAAGATGGACACTACGTAATGATAGTACCGGCACTGTGCCTGCTCCTATACGTATTACTCTATGTCATTTTAGGATGACCGTCCGAGTTGGATTTTTGCAGGGGGATTTATCCGCGTGGACCAGGATCAATCTTTGATGAAGCCGCAACGACATACCAGCAAGAGGGCGGTGCCCACGCAGCTTTCTCAAGATACCGTCGACTCATTGACTTTCAATGTATTCCTTCTTGCAACTGTTCTTGTGCAGCTCATTTACCTTATATTGCATATGCTTCCAGTTCACTGACGGCGACATTGGCAGGGACCCTTGTAAGTCAGGCGCATGCTAGGACCTTGATCGGGTAGAATCATGTAACATGGAAACTATTTCGTCACGGAGCAACTCTCAGAAGCCATTAGATGCTTACCATGAACACGGAAACTTGCCAGTCGAACCGTTCTGTCCCACTATGATCTGCTTTTCAGTCAGATCGCAGATCAGGCATCCGTCGATAACAAAGTATCTGGACAGATGCCTCATCGATCGCGGTCATATTTGAAACACCCGGTAAAACCTTGACACAAATCTTGCATCCTTTGGTGATTACTGGTGTAAATACAGTAAATCCGCAATGGAGAATACCCGGCCAGCTGAAGGCACCGCAGACGGAGTAAGCCGACAAGGCAGGCATGAGCCTTCATTGCATTATTATTGAATGAATGATTGAATCTGTAGGCGAGCATCCCAGCTGCTGAATTGCTGGCACTGGCAGCCACCACGGTTTGTTTGGCCTTCGTTTCGCTGGAACCAACCATCCCTGTCTAGTCGAGCAGAGTCATGAAAATGTGATTGGGTCCACGTCCCCGATCCCGGAGATCGGGTCGTTTGAACAGTTATTTAGTGGTGACTGGCGGTTTGTGGTGAGTCGTGACACCGTGACACAGGCTAGATACTCCGTAGTGGCTGCAGTTTTGAAGGCACCATGTGGGTGGGTCAGGTCGGTGGGTTTTGGAGGCACTGACCACCGTGTCTTGCTCTGGGAACTCCACTGGTTGGTGATATCCTTCGTGAGAGTGATATGTGCTACACACTATTGCTTTGGTATCGGCATAAGAATGTAAGCTGAAGTAATTAATCTACAGTACCTCTGCAAAGATCACACGTTAGACAGAAGTAGTCAAAGTAGCAACAGATCTACTATAGATCAGGCCATAGCGATACTCATCATGAAAAGCAGCCGAGCAGAAGGAACAACGCCACTTCTCACCCCATCGGTAAAATCTCCCTGAAACCACCAATCTGCAGATCGATATCGCGCTATCCCTACTTCCCGGAGCAATAGAAGTACCAAGAACAACCTCATGTGGTCTAGGGGCCACCACCACGATTCCTAAAGCGCGAATCTGCAGCTCGGCTCATGCTGGAAGCCGTTGGAAGATTTCGTGCATGCTCATTTATTTCCTGTCATTGCATCAAAGTGGCGGTTCATGACCAATTGGTCTCGTTTCAGGCGCTCCTCGGACCATTGCGTTGCCAATTACAGCGCCCTGCTTTTGAGGGGTTATTTCTGCCATCGGAGATTGCTGCGGTAGAGGGTCTAGAGTCTAGATGGTGGTGTTGGCTTACGTGCGATGGTTTTATTCTGGTATCAATTAACCTTTCACTTTTGTTCGTACCAGGAAAAAGTACGGTCATCAATGATAGTATGCAGAATTATGAGGCATAAAATATTTCATACGGTGTTCTTTTGCGATGTTGTCATGGATCGAGTTGGCACGCTGGCAGGGGTTCTCGGGATCTGCAGACTCGTCAAGGTGCCATTTTTGCCATTCATGACTATCAGGGGAGGACAATCGTCATGTTCATTGTTGAAAGTTGATACTAATTACTTAGTATGTAACTTTGAATGGATCCTATGATTTACCACTTGGGTAAATCGTCCGAGGTGAACTACTTTATTCAGTTGGTAGCAGCGCCTCGCCAGCTACTAGCTCACGCTAAGTCTTTCTTGTTTTATCAAGGGGAATCATAATCCGAGGTCTCTCAATGAGTAAGGCATTAGTCAAGATACTATTTGAAACATAGTTGTCGAAAGGTCAAGCATGTTTTGATGTTGATGGCTTTTCGCTGTAGAGAACAGGCAGCATAAATCCGCTCCAAACGCTGACAATACAGTAACGACTACGGGCATACCTACCTACCGTAGTATCCTTGGATGAATCCTGGTCGTAGCTCGCTTAAACATACCACGTATATGAGGTAGGTAGGGGATGATCCCGAACGACGATTCCCAGGCAGACAACATCCATATCTCGCCACGATGCGGAGTACAGTGTACTGGAATGAACTGTTAAAGAATTCGCTGGTGTGATGTCCAGAACCTGTCATACCACACGACCATTTGACAGCCACAAGAGATGGATTGCATGCGGAATTGCCCCCGCTAGTACAGAGTCGATAACTCCAAGACACACCGGGCGAGACGCTTCTGGGTTCGGGCAAAGTTCCAGAGCGGGAAGAGAGCCTAAACCATCCATGCTCCACTCCGGTGCTAATCGTCATTAATTATGACTTGTTTTGGTATGTCTGTCAACTGCGTATTGAATTACTCCAGTACTTTCGGGATTTGTTGATATTCGAGAGTAGTGATAAAGATAACGAAATGAATTAGACATCTTGGGTTGTCGGCTAGACGGGCAGCAAACCACGGTAAGTTTTCTTATTCGTTTTCATGGAGTCCACGGACTTCAAGTCAAATATGCTATTGTTCTTCTGGTACTTATTGAATCTATAAAAGGCTCTGGTGAATGAATTAAGTCTGAATTCATGGATTGTTTCTGATAACAAGTTCAAAGCTCACATGAATCCTCTCGCTTAGTACCATACCTAAGGTCACACTGTCTGAATGTGTAGGATAAAAAAAATAATAGGTTGTATGAAGTCTGTAAATAATACAGTAAAAGTAAGGTATCCACCAGTATCCACCCCCTCTTGCTCGTTCGGTTCCCCCAGAAAGTTTGTTCCTATGCTAAGTGCCAAAATAGTAGGTAAAATGATTATTATTTTCATTTTTCCCATTCACTGTTGAATATTAATATTATTTGTGTTTGATGGCCTTTTCTTTTTATTTCAGGACCCGGTTCCCCCTACTTTATTATTAGCATTGCTTCTTCCTTCCCAGTTTCCCTGGGTCTGCTGCCAGTGCCACATATACAGACCACCACACCCACAATCTTCGCATCATTCCTCACGACAATGACAGCAACACAGTCCGAGATCTAGACAGTTGACAGGTCTACGAGACTACGGCCTTATTCGACCCGACCGATCGTCAGACTGATTTCTGTCGGAGCTGTGTCTGACACACTGACCGCCGCTCGGCCAATCACCCAGAATATAGTCCGCCCAGAGCTGCCTTCCCTGCGTATTATTATTACCCATTGTTCGTGCAGTCCCTGCGTCCATTCCCACCCTCACCGTCTTGTCGGGTCTCCCAGGCCTTTGGATTCGGTACACCTCGTGAGACCTGCCATACCTGTGCTTCACCACTTCTGTTGGATTCGCCCCCCTTTCGAAACGACCCATTGAACTAATATTTGGTCGTCATACACCACCTTTTTTCCGCTTGAAATGTCATGAGAAGGAGTTTCAACGGAGGAAGTAAAACCTTATATTTTAAGGAGCCGATCGCACGACTTCCAACCTCATCGCCACGGATCAATCAACTACGGAATCCAGTGTGAATGGTTTCAAGATAGGATACAGCCAAAATGTCCCGTCAAACCGACACTAGCCCACCTGGTGAGGATAGGCAGGAGGGTTTCAGCAAATATCTGAAGCGCATGAAGACGATTTTGAAAAGGAGTTCAACTGCAAGGAGTTCGATATCAAGTATGCAGGAGATCACTCAACAACGAGAACCGAGTCAAG